AAGTCAAGAACACTAAACACATGGACCACAGAACAAGGGAAGGTAGATCCAGACTGCTGACCAGGAGAAGATGGAGACCATGTGTCCTGTGTCCACCCTGAGCTGGGATGAGGCCAGGGAAACTTAGTGGAACATCTAATCCCTGAAGCAGCCCTGAGGGCTGCTTGGTAGCCTTCATGCAAGGACTCCAGACTTGCCATCTGTATCAATGCACTGCATTCTAACCTTAAGGCAACACTTGCATTGTGGACCATCAGGATCCAAAGGAGCATGAAAGGGGCCTGCCACAAGATCTCTCAGACAGACCGCTTACTAAAGAGCTGGCACTAAAGGGCATACGGGCATCCATATCTGTCACCCAGTCTTGTCAAACAAGGGGCTTCTGGCACATCTCTGCCATTGAGAAGAGTGCAGTTGGGACCTCTCATCTAAGCTCTGAGACACGGAGATGACATCAAAGCCTGAGTCATGACTGCTGTACTGGGTTCAGAGTCCAACCCTGTGAAGAGAGTCCTTTCCATGATCTCTCCTGCCCATTTAACTGGATATTTTCTTCAAGAACCTTGGGCTGGAGGAGGATATGAAAAGAGAGGTGTTGATAATGTCAGGGCAAAGCTTTGAGTAGTGAGTAGCTGCACCCAGAATCACATAAACACAAATCATATAAATCACAAAATCGGCATGACCCTGTCTCCAGAGCCCCCAGGAGGGTGGAACAAGCCACTGGAAACTGAAGTCTCATGAGCTGAGACAGTTATTAGAAGGACAGACTGGGTTCAGAACTGCTTCAGGAGTCCCAAAGGAGGAAGCCTTGCTGGGTGAGAAAGGAATAACACTCGAGACCTGCCAAATATAATGTATGCACAGGACACAAAAAACAATGTTCCCTCCCCTTTCTGTGCTTCTGGGAGTTAAAACTTGGGACTTCATACGTTAGGGAAGTGCTCCTCAACTGAACTCACTCGGTCCCAAATAATTTTTTAATGTAATTACATTCCAAATACTGAATGGGACATGGTTATATGATTACATCCCTTCCTGAAATTTCAAAGTAGTGAATGTCTCTACTGCTCCTGACTGAAAAAGCAGACTCCCAGCAAATCTTAACCTTTTGGGCTAGAAACATTCAGACCCTCCCTTACCATCACTTAGACAAATGATAGGCCCGGGCTGTGTCTATAATCAGAATGTGTGTGTCCACCCGCAAGACATCTGAGCAGTAAACCTCAAATTGCGGTCTAAACAGCAGAGGATTGGCCTCACCTTGGAAAAGAGTTGTCAGGACCACAGACTCCCAAACTCTGCCCTAGATCTGCAAAATGAACACTCGCTTGGTGTCCCTGGAAACAGAACCTGAAATCTTTGGCATGCCAGGCAAGCATCACCAAGCCTACTTCAGCCCCAAGCCCCTGTATTTTATGAGGATCTCTCTGTGAGAGATTTGGTGTACATGGGAGTTGGGGGTGGTAGGGAGCATGAACACTTGAGATGGATCAGGTGTCAGCACAGAGTAGGGCCACAAATAAGGGTGCTAGGTGACTAGGTGACACCAGTAGCTTACCTTTGTGCTGCATTAGCCTTCAGAGGAGCTCTCCAGACAGCATGTTGTCACCATTTACAGGGTATTCAAAAAGGACAGTGTCTTTCCTCATGAGGCCATATGGCCAGTAAGTGGCTGTGAATCTGGCCAAGCCACTGTGACTGTGGCATGCCAGGCACAGAATGGATGCTGCTCTACCATGAAAGACCCTCTTGACAGGTCTTGCTCTATACCTGTTATAGCTGCTGACACCTTTGTTGCATTCAGTCCCCATCCCTGTGCTTTGTTGATGTATGTGTGGCCAGTAAGTTGGGTGAGCCAGAAGAGCTGGAACTATCCAGGTCTGGAGGCATCTCAAGAAGAATAAGCAATGACTGCGTGTCCCAAATACATAGTAAGTCTACTTGGCACTCTTCAGTGAACCAACTTTCTCCTTCCTTTAATTTTGTTAGAAAGAGGGGGTAGGGGAGGGAGGGAGAGAGGATGGAAGGGGTAGTCATAAAAGGAAAAAGTAACAGTTTATAGCCCCTTCTGTAAGATGGGCATCTCATAGTGATCCCCCCCCCCCGGGAAAGTGGAGTGACATGAACTGAGGCGTCTCCCTGGGAGTTCAATCTTATCACTTATCGTCTCCTGGGGACATCAACTGTAAAGGCCAAAGTACCTTAGTACAATAGTTCCTCAAAGCTGAGTCATTAATCCTTGGCAGGTGCAAGCAGAGATTTAGTATGGAACATGGAGCCTTCCATGTTCGAAGTCCATAGGTCAATGGGGATCTGACTATTTGGTCAGGGTGTCGTCCTCTAAAACCTAGGATTCCATTCACTTTTTAACAGAAGTCCTTCAGATTTCCAAGGTCAACCAGAACACTTTTCAACCTATCACATGTTTTGGTGACAACAACACTGGTCTTTCAACCTTGAAATGCACCAGAGAATTGGTACATGTCACCTGCCAGGACCACCATTTCCTCCTGCCCTTCCTGCCTCAGCCGTCTCTCCAACCAAATGTGGCCTTTCTCAAACCTCTGGCATCCTGGCTCCCCACACCATAACTATTCCCCAGTTTGTATACTGCCCAAATGTCCACCCTAGAATGTAAGCCTTGAGGGACACACAATGCCTTTCCTCCTATAGGCTAAAACAGATTCTATAAGCTCTAACCTATGAAGTCAACTGTTGCTTGGGGTCCAATTCTTGGTTCCCATAAAGTTCCTGCACTCGAACTGCCTTGTTCCTGACTCTAAACAAGGTCATTGTCAACACACAGCAGGTCACCAAGGTGTAAATGAAAATGTCATACTGTAGGGCATCCCCAGACTGAAGACTACCTGGGATTTTCTACTTCTTGGTGACATGTCAAGTTTCCTGTAAGCCCTACTTTTTCCTTACTGGGCTCATGGCCAAGTGCCTCCTAGCCCTAGGTAGCCCATTCCTGAGTCTGTGAGTATACCTAGCCACAGGCTCATCCTGACCAAGTTTAGAAATGCTGTTGTAAGGTTAATGAAACAGACTTCATTCCCAGAGTCTAGGAGGCAACCCTAACAACCAAAGCAACTGAATCTTTGCATATCACCACAAGACCATTTGGGCATAAGATGAATGAGCTGGACAGTTTGATATTATCAAATTGACACAAGCTAAAGTCATCTGAGAGGAGGGATCCTCAGTTAAGAAAAAGGCCTCCTGCTGACAGGAGCCTGATACAGCCTTAGAGGTCTGCCAGAGCCTGACATATACAGAGGCAGATGCTCACAGCTAACCACTGAACTGATCAAGGGGTTCTCAATGGAGGAGTCACAGAGAAAATTAAAGGAGCTGAAAGGGTTTGGACCCCATGGGGAGAGCAACAATACCAACCAACCAGAGCTCTCAGGGTCTAAACCACTAGCCTGGGAGCACATAGTGAGGGACCCATGGCTCCAGCTGTATATGTAGTAGAGGATGGCCTTGTTGGGCATAGGTGGGAAAGGAGATCCTTGGTCCCATGAAAGCTGGATGCCCCAGTGTGGGGGAATTTGAGGGTGGTAAGGTGGGAGTAGATGGGGGCACATCCTCATAGAAGCAGGAGGAAGGGGGATGGAATAGGGGGTTTCTGGGTGGGGAGGAAAATGGGGAAAGGGGATAACACCTGAAATGTAAACAAAATATCCAATAAAAAATAAAAATGCCTCCATAAAATCAGACTGTGGGCACAACTGTAGGACATTTTCTTAATTGGTGATAGATGTGGGAGGGCCCAGCCCATTATGGGTGATGCCTGGGCTGGTGGTCCTGGGTTCTCTAAGAAAGCAGTTTGAGCGAGCCCTAGGGACAAGCTAGTAAGCAGCATACATCATGGCCGCTGCATCAGTTCCTATGCCCAGGCTCCTGCCCTCACTGCATTTGATGACCTGTTCTTTGGAACTGTGAGTGAAATAAACCCTTCCCTCCCCAAGTTGCTTTGGTTATGGGGTTTCCTCACAATAACAGTGACCATCCTCCAACCCCTGCCTCCTGTGGCAGCTGGGAGAGCTGGCCCTGCCCCTCGCCAGCTGCAGCCCTCAGGAGAGCAGACCCCTAGGCCTTGCCTGGGCAGGACAGTAGAGCTGGCTCTGGTGGCAGGAGTATGGATGAGGAGTTCCAGAGGGCATGAGCACAGTTGAGCTGGCCCTGCCACTCATCTGCTGTTAAGGTCATGTAGGTGGGATGTGACCCTCTACTCCCTCTTGCCCCTCACCACCTGCCGCAGTCAAGAAAGCTGGTCCTTGGATCATGAGAGTAGGTGAGGTGACCCTGCCCTTTACTGGTTGTAGGACTTGGGAAGAGCGGGTCCTACACCTTGCCTGGGAAGTACAATGGAGCTGGCCCTCACGGTGAAGGCATGTGGGGGTTGGAGTGTGAACCGGCATCCAGAGTGCAAGAGTGGTAGAGCTGGCCTAGCCCTCACAGGCTGCACTCGGGAAAGAGCTCCGAGTCTTGACTGCACAGCACAGTGGAGCTGGCTCTGGAGGAATGGGTGGGTGTGGGTGAGCTGGCTCAAAAGTCATGAGGGCAGGAAAACTGATCCTGCCTCCTACTGAGGATGGCACTGGGTGGCCTAGCTGGAGCAGGGCTGGAGCAGGGCTGGAGCAGAGTTGGAGAGTTCACTCTGATGGTATGGATAAGGGAGAGCTAGCAGGCTGACCAGCTCAGGTCCACGCAGATCCAGGGCTTTGAGTTGGCCCACCTTAAAAGTCTCCATCATTTTGTCAGCTGTGGGGGATCATGCAATGGCCAGTCCTGCTGATCCAGAGTTGCAGGATCTCCATGACACAGGGCAACAGCTTGGACAACTGGGAGGAGTCCCAATGAGGATCCTATATTGATGGTGTCACAGGAGCCAGAGGCCTCAAACCAGACCAAAGACCCATTGCAATGAACATCCCCAAGATGTGTGGACAGAGGAGTCCCTGGGGACACACTGTGACACAACAGCTCTGTCAGTGTTTTCTATGCTGTTTTATTTCGTGTTTTGTAGGGGAGGCTGCAAGGGTTGGGGGACAAGGAGATGGGTGCGATTGGGGTGTATGCTGTGAACCTTACAAAGAATCAATAGCAAATCAATATTAAGTTATAAAAAACTAAAGGCCTCTCTTTGTCTCTGTCGCCTCTTTGTCCCCTTCCCCGACAATAAAGCTCTCATGTGAAAAAAAGAAAGGCAATGAGCTCTCCATACTCTACTACTTAGAAAACAGGGAATGCCGGGCGGTGGTGGTGCACACCTTTAATTCCAGCACTTGAAAGGCAGAGGCAGGCAGATTTCTGAGTTCGAGGCCAGCCTGGTCTACAGAGTGAGTTCCAGGACAGCCAGGGCTACACAGAGAAACCCTGTCTTGAAAAACCAAAAAATAAAATAAAGAAAACAGGGACCATCTTTTCCACAACCTAAGTCATTTCATCCCAAAGTGAAGGGCCTGTTGGAGCTAGCGGAGGTGTGAGCAGACCACTCGAGCACTCAGGTCACATTCACGGGAGGGGGTGGAGTAACGGCAGAACCCACAGGAACTCTAGCTACTGTAGTAACGATGCACACAGCTGGTCTTGTACTGGTGACCAGGCCAGACTCCAAATCCTACCTAGCCCCACCTGCTGTGTGACCTCATCTTCACTAGGCCGCTGAGCCACCATACCAGTCCCGCTGAGCTACCTCAACTAGACCATGAGAACAGCCTCCCAAGGGCTGCTCCAAGTCGGAAGGAAAACCTGCATACCTATTGCCACAGCCCTGGTCCCACGCCTTGGTGACTTTACACAGCAGAGTACCAGCTTCACTGTCCCACAAGAACTGTCATGGGGAAACCCAGTCTCTCCATCGGGTGGCTCTGGGGCACATGTCCTCACCATGCTAATGAAAGTGACAGAATCATAGACAATGCCACAGAACAGCCAGCATGGATGCAACATTCACCTCAGCACACTCAACAGTCCAGGGCTGTCAGCAGAGCAGGGAGGGAAAGGCCAGGAATTGCTTATTCTTTTCTTGCATGTGCTGGTACATGCTGTTTTCATGCAGAGGTCATACTTTGAGACCAGGATCGTCTTCTACTGCTCTCCATCTTACTTTTTAGGATCTGGTCTTTCCCTGAACCTCGAGCTTTCTGTTTTGCCCACACTGCCTAGCCAGCAAGCTCCTTTTGCCCTCCTTACCTAAAGGCACACGACAGAATTAGAGATGCAGACTGCCGCACTCAGCTTTTTACATGGAGTTAAGATAAAGAAACCCCCAAGTCTCAGATCCTGTCGCTCAAGCCACACACCCTAACTATAAGCCAAGCCTCACTTAGATTTGACAGTTCTCTCTTCTCCCACCTCCCAGTGTCTCTTTCCACCTCAGCCTAGCCAAGTGACAAGCAGACAGCCATAGGGTAAAATGGTGGTATATGGGACAGGTAGGAGGACGCTGAGTGAAGATGCAGAATCATCTCCTCTGAACCCTCCTGTAGCCAATGCTCGGGCTGGGACATGGAGGAAGAATCTCGTAGGTGTGCATTCCTTATATTACCACTTGTGCTTCAGAAACAGACACAAACGGCCATGATCTTTCATCCAGGAAGGGAAGCTAGCTTCCTTGGCTCCCAGGGCTTAGTGGCATTTCCCTCTGAATGTAAACATGCATGTGCTGGTAAGATCCATGGGCTTATGGTCAGGAATGCCCTTAGAAGACAAGCCCATCTGTCAGCTGATCTGGATCAGTAGAACCGTAGGAACTAGATACAGGGCTCTGGCTCAGCCACAGCCCAACACTAAACCAGCAGAACCAAGACACCTGGCCTTTGCTCGCCAACTGAGGCACTGCATTCAGCAGCAGACCCAGACAATGCCACCTTTTCAAAGTCTGTCAACTCTGGAGATTTGGGAAAGCAGTCTCTTCCCACATTCCAGAGGGTCACAGGCTGGGACAGCTGGAATCTTTATTCTGCTAATGGACAAAATGGTAGCCCAGCAGTACCAAGGAGATGGAGTGTCCAAAGCTGCTTCCTCAAAGTACAGTCTGTCCAGATAGTGAGCACCACAATGTGCCCACAGAGTGGGAAGCCCACTCCATCCAGGCCAGGATGCCCAATTCAGTGTCCTCAGGCTCAGGCAACCTCAAGAAGGCTTTGCTGGAGGTTTAGGTTTCTTTCCCCTGTGCTTGAAGTCACGCAGTGGGTTCTGGGTCTTCACCTTCTACAAGGGCAGAGTCAAAAGTTAATTGGGAGAATCAGTCAGATTGCCCCAACAGAGTGAGCAGTGCTGGCACCTGGCCAAATCCCTGTGGCACAAGCCAGAAACCGCTAGCTGCTGCAGACGTGAGGGAGGCCACTGAGGGCAGAAACAGGGCCTCCAGGCAGCTGTGCGAATACCACAAACCCACTCCCGTTTCTGGGAGTTCTACCCCTCCCCTGGCTGCTGAAGATGAAGGGCAAGGTGGAAAGGAGCACTGCTACTGTCCCAGGAATCGCAGGAGACATACCTTAGCCTTCCTAGAGAAGGGCATCTTTCTCCGCTTCTTCCGAGGATGCACAAGGCCACGAAGAGCAGCAGGAACTGGAAGAGATGCTGGGCCTCAGCACAGCCTCACTTCCACTTCTAAGCTTCAGCTACACAGTCCTCTCTTCCCCTGAAACCTGGCTTCCAGTGTTGGCCTACTCCCTTCTCAGCGCTACCCTGCACACTTACAGCACAGACTCCAATCCAGCCCAGCAGTGGTGGCGCACGCCTTTAATCCCAGCACTTGGGAGGCAGAGGCAGGTGGATCTCTGAGTTCGAGGCCAGCCTGGTCTACAGAGTGAGTTTCAGGACAGCCAGGGCTACACAGAGAAACCTTGTCTCAAAAAACCATAAAGAAAACAGGGGGTGGGGAGTGGGGAGATGGACAGAAGGAGGAAGAGTATCCACTACTCAATTATTTGTTATACGTGCACAGACAAAATATTAAAGTTAGCTCCATAGGCTCCCAGTGTCTAAGTCATGTCTGTGGTGTTTAAATTTAGTGCAATGGACACAGAACAAGAAAAGAGAAGCTATGGTATATTCAGTATACAGCACAGAGAAAGGGAGGGAGGGAGGGAGGGAGGGAACACTTTCAAGGATGAGGCATTTAAAAGGAGAGAAGTTGGAGGGTGGATTCTTTTTTGTGCAGCTCCTAAACTGCAATATCTCTAGCCCACTCCCGGCCCTCCCTCCCTCCCCTCTACAATCCACCCCAGCTCCACGAGATCTTGTGCCCAGCCTCAGAGAATCACTTCAACCCCGTCAGGACAGGCCACATCTGACACTTCATGCTTTCTCCTGGCCATACTTAGTGAGTGACTTTGCTCTTAGGAGGTGCTTTAGGCCAAGAGCAGCCTCCTAGAATTTCTGATACAGAGCAAGAGTGGGGTCCTCCTCCAGCTCACTACCCCTTAGGAGCCCGCCTCCAGCCCTGGTGTTACCTTTCCTAGGCCCTTTGACATTTACACATTTTTCTGCCCTAGTATGTCCCTCCTGTATCTTCCTGTCACTTTTTCTGTTTTGCTTTCTTTGAGACAGGGTTTCTCTACATAGTAGAGATCGATCTGCAGACCAGGCTGTCCTCAAACTCACAACGATCTCGCTGTTTCTGCCTCCTGGGCATTGGGATTAAAAGTGTGTACCACAACTGCACAGCCCTTCCTGTCACCTCCAAAGCAGCAACATCACTTAGCAAACAGACTGACTCCATTCCGGGCAGGCAGGATCAGGAATGGTGGAGGGCCTACGCTAACTGCTCAGCCACCTTCTCGACTCTTCTCCCTTATGTTTACTGTAAGCATAGACGGCATGGATACCCATTGCCAAAAATACCCCACACTAGACATCCAAAGGGAAAGCCCAGAGCCTTCATGAGATGAGAAGGACCAGTTAACTCAAACAGCTTCCCTCCCTCCCTTGGCACTGTGTGTCTCCCGCATCTGCTCCTACCTACAAATCACAGAGGTATTCTCCAGCATAAGGGTCCTGAGCCCAGGACTCTCCCCTCAAACATGTTCAGCCTCTTGAGAACACAGGAAGCCAGTCACTGGCTCATTTTCCTACTCAGCCAAACCCGGGAATATGCCACCAACTCTGCATAACCACAGTTTCTTCATCTCCACAACATAACAGCTACCATGAGATGGATGAGTTGAACAAGTCTGTATGAGCTAGTACATGGTGCACAGTGGTTCATGTTCACACATGCTGTGATCCCTGGGTCTCTAGGTCCTCTCACATACAAGCTCTCCCAGCACCAAGCACAGGGGCTGGTGGAAGATAGCCAAAAGCTAGGCCATTTCTTACAGGCTCCTGACCCTCAGCAACACTCACCCAAGTAGTCAGGGACATTGCCCAAATGAGGCTTTACCACTGCCGGGTGCAAGGGTAGATCATGGCGTAGCAGCTGAAGGTCTCTAGGGTTGTCTTCAAAGTATGTCTGACAGGCAGAGAGCACAAGGTTTAAGATGCACAAAAAGCGTCACCGTGAAGTTTGCCTACCACTTTATTCTTTATCCTCCTTGATAGCCACAGCCTAGGACAAACCAGGACAGGCTTCTCATGGCTTGTACATCTGCCCTCTACTGGCCAAGTAAGGTACTGCATGTTGTAGCAGAGCCAAATAATGCTACCGTCTGGAAACCTGTCTACTCTGGAGGCTTTGGAATGTGGTCCCTTCTCACATGTCAGTTTCACAACTTGGGGCAGCTAGAACCTTTATTCACTCACTGATGCTAGACTTCTGAGTCCCCAAAACGGGTACAAGGATATCCCCTACACAAGGACATATCTGTTTCCTTCTCTAAGATACAAACCGGCAGTCTGAATCCCTTAAGTTTAGGATCATCTTACAGACTGTTCCTCACCAACACCAACAGCCTCTTCACTCTGTCCCATGTCTGTATGACATCTAGGTCCGGCTGGTACATCCTAAGGATCCCAGTATGGACCCTATGGGGCTTCCAAATAGTGTTGTATATACACACACTATGTATGCTCACTTACAATGAATACCAAGCGCACATGTGAGCTTGTGTCTACCACCCTCTCAGCAGAACAACTGTCTTTCAGCTGGTCTCTCGTCTCTCCCTGCCAGAGGCCAGCAAGCTGCTCACCTCTCTGCTTCTCACTACTCAGACTTAGCCAGCCGCCCGAAAGAATAGCTCTAAGCTTAACCTCACCTTGAGCTTCTCTGAGTGTAGAAGCTCCTCCTTGATCTCCTTCAATCTCGCCTCTCGAATGGCCTGCTTAGTGACCGAGCGCATGGCATCCTGTGGGTAGACAGGGTGACACAGCCTTATACCCGGGTGTGCTCAGCAATAGGACATAAACCGTGGGTCACAGCCCATTCCTCAACTACCCTCCTCCTCACCCTTGTCAAGCTTACCCTGCAGCGATAGCGAAAGCTTTCAATCTCCTCCATCTGGAACTGGTAGGGAAGCAGGCTGGGGGCCTCACCCTCTGGGGAGAAGGCAGCAGTAAGGGTTGAGGGCAGGGCCCATGTAAGGCCTTCCCTGGCAGCCTCCTGCTCTTCTCTGAAGTGAGGCTGTACCCTGAAATGCTACTCAGCATCACTATACTTTGGTCTAAGAGCAGATCCCAAGATGCTTGGGTCAGGGCGGTGTGCTTGAGCCCGATGTGGCATCGCAACCTCAGGCTCACAGCCCACCACCCACTCATGGCAAGGCTGCTGTGGCCACAGGACCCCTCATGATGATGGCTGCTGCCTGCAGACAAGGCACACTTCACCCACTCAAAGCATCTGAGTCCAGACAGAGCAAAGTATCTAATTAGTCCCTGACTACGAAGCAATCGGTGAACATGACATTGGAAAAACTACCTCAGTCACTATGTGAAAGAACATAGTATCCGTCGCCAGGGAAAGACGGTAACAGACAGTGGTAGGAGTCATCATCACTACAGATTTCTTGGCATTTTACACAGGGCCTCATTATATAACCCAGGGGAGCCTCCAACTAGCTACGTAGCCTGGGCTGACCCAGAACTCTCAATCTTCCCGTCTCAGGCTCTCAAGTGCTGGGATTACCGTATGTGATACCATACTTGGTGTTGCCATAAGGTTTCCTCCTCCTATTCATCTTGGACTTAGAAAGAGATTTATTTATTTCACTTTTTGTATGTCTTGCCTGCATGCACATATGTATACTGCCTACATGCCTGGTTTCTGCAGATGTCAAAAGAGGGTGCTAGAGTTACAGATGTCTATGAACTGCCAAATGGGTGCTAGGAACTGAACCTGGGTCCCCTAAAAGAGCAGCAAGTGGGGATGGAGAGATGGCTCACAGGTTAAGAGCACTGACTGCTTTTCCAGAGGTCCTGAGTTCAATTCCCAGCAACCACATGGTGGCTCACAACCATCTGTAATGGGATCTGCTGCCCTCTTCTGGTGTGTCTGAAGACAGCTAGAGTGTATTCACATAAATAAATAAATAAATAAATAAATAAATAAATAAATCTTAAGAAAAAAAAAAAAAGAGTAGCAAATGCTCTTAACCTCAGACCCACCTGTTGAGCACCATTTTATGATTTGAAAATAGCAAAAAAAAAAAAAAAAAAGAAAGAAAGAAAGAAAGAAAGAAAGAAAGAAAGAAAAGAAAAGAAAGGAAGGAAGAAAAAAAGAAAAAGAAAGGCTCTTGCTATTATCTTAAACTGTCATTATCTGTCTCACCCCTCATGTTCTGCATTGTACAGTACCATACTAGATGCTGGAGTTGACTGTAAGGTGTGACAGAAGAAGCCTGGCTCCTAGACTCACTGTCACAGACAAGGGCTCTTACCTCCACTGAGAAGCTCCTCAATCTTTCCCAAGGAAGACTGTTCGGTAGGCAGCACAAAGGTCAGAACTATGCCTGGGTTGTTGGCACGGGCTGTCCTGCAGAGGGAGGAGATCAAGCATGCACCACTAGCCCACAGGGTCTGTCCTTCTGCATGCTCTGGCTCCCCACACCATCCTCCTACCTGCCTGCTCGATGGACATAGGCTTCTGCAGTGGGAGGAAGGTCAAAGTTGAGGACCGCAGACACATGGTGGAAGTCTATGCCCCGGGCCACGCCCGACTCCGGATCAGAGGCCCTGAGAAAATAACCTAGTATCAGACAGACATTCATCCTCTGGGAAGGTGTTATCTCTAGTCCATCTACTCTAAGCAGAGCTGAAAGACCACCAAACTGTCAGACGTTAGACTCACTCCAGGAGCTGGGGTGTTGATGAGTGGCCTGGAGTTCTGACTTGTGGCTAAACCTGTGCCCTGACCTCTGTGCTCTGTGCTCTGTGCAATAGCAGAACACACTGACCCATAAACCACCTCTGAGACCCTGGACTCTTCAAGCAGGCAACACCTAGAGTGTCCCTTTCCCCCCTCAGACACATATTCTCTGTACATCATGGCCACATGCCCAGGGCTGCCTGGACCACCTCCCATGCCCAGCCTGATACTCTGTGCTGCACTGCAGGAATCGCTCTCTACTGCCCTGCTTCTCTATGTCTGTCCAGGAAGCTAAGCAAGGGCCGTGGGACTGCCAGGTATAACCACTGTCTGGCAACCCACTCACTCTACGCACTCTGGCTTCAGTCTTACAGATTCTAAAAACAGTCCTCTTGGGGGAATTCGGAGAAAAGAGAACCACGAACTCACTTGTCTCCTTTGGATCCACGGCCTCGCCGCTTGCCTTTGACTTGGGGTCCCAAGATTTCAGCATCTGTCGCTATGACGCAATCATACAAGCCTTGGTTGAACTGTGAGATGATGTGGCACCTGCAATCCAAGAGGAATGATCAGCCTGACAGACACAAGAAAGTCTTCCCAATCCTAACCATCCTAACCATCCTCCCTCCCTACTCTCTCCTCTTTATCTCCCTTATCATCTTCAGATCTATGCCTCAGCTTCCACAGTTGAAAAATAAAGCAATGAGCTGGAGAGATGGCTCAACGACTAAATGCACTGGCTGCTCTCCAGAGGACCTAGTTTCTAGTCCCAGCACCAACATGGCAGCTAATACTTTATCTGTAACTCCAGCGTCAGGGGATCCAGCACCCTTTATGGCCTCTATATGCATCAGGTATGCAGGTGGGACACACAAACAATGCAGGCAATAAAACACCCACACACAACAATAAATACTTTCTCTTTCTTTCTCTCTTTTGTAATGGAGCAGCAGTTAAGTATTTCAGAGTTGTCATCATACTGAGAGTACAGGCCCCAGCAAGTGCTTAAGAAACAGGAACAAGGTGTAGAACTTCTCTAGGTGTAGAACTCAGTGGCTGAGTGTTTATCTAGCATTAACAAGGCTCTGGGTTCAATCCCTCACATTGCAAAGAGGTGGGGGGAGGGGAGGACAGAAGAAATAAGACCAAGCTGTGTGAGGCGGCCCACAAATTTAATCTCAGCATTTAGAAAGCTGAGGCAGGAGGACTGCTGTAAATTCAAGGCTAGCGTAGACTATGTATATAGCGTAAAATCCATCTCATAAAAAGGCAAAGAATCAACTGGGTTCTCCTCCCACGTTTCTTCTAAACTTTATCAAGACAGACCATAGCAGACCTGGAGCGCAGTGGGAGTTCTCCATTGAGCACGCAGGAAGGAATGCTGAACTGCTCTAGGAAAAGACGGAGCCGGTAACCCCTCTCCAGAGTGTTGACGAAGAGCAAGGCTTTGCCCCGAATCAGTGACAGCTTGAGCAGGGCATACAGCAGCAAGAACTTGTCTTCTTCAGTCTCACAGACCACCTGAAACTGCTGAAGCTGGTCTGGTCCCGGCAGCTGGGACTCCTGTAACTTGAGGATGACCTGTGATCAGGAAAGAAAGAGAAGCGGTTCTAATGGCCACTGCCTCACCAACCAAAGTACCTACATTAGTGCAAGGCAGACATGTCTTTAATGATTTCTGGCTTGTGAGCCATCACCCCATCCCCCACCCCAACCCACTCCCAGGGCTGTAACCTAAGAATGCAAAGTACCATTACGATTGTGGTATATAGAAACACACTACAGATAGTAGCATCAGAGTACACCGCAAAGACAAACATTGGGAGGTGACAGTACACAGTACAGAAGGCCTGCATGATGGTTTTGAAGACTGATATGTACACAAGAAGAGAACTCTGGTCTTAGAATCTGGCTCCTTTTGAAGACAGTGACCCCAAGTAAGCTTTCCAGGCAAAGCATAGTTTGGACTAGGGAAACCTATAAACATATAATGACTTAGCCGGGCAGTGGTGGCGCACGCCTTTAATCCCAGCACTTGGGAGGCAGAGGCAGGCGGATTTCTGAGTTCGAGGCCAGCCTGGTCTACAGAGTGAGTTCCAGGACAGCCAGGGCTAAACAGAGAAACCCTGTCTTGAAAAACCAAAAAAAAAAAAAAAAACATATAATGACTTTAAGTGACTTCCTTTCAGTGACTAAGAATTAGGAATGACAGACCTAACGATAGTACCTCCTTGGCACCACTTACTGGGTTATGTAGCACCAGCTCCTTCAGAGTTTGTACATCCTCATTGAAAGTGGCTGACATGAGAAAAGCCTGGTAAATCCGAGGCAAGTAACTGAAAGAAAGAACAGGGCCTGATAAGGCTCTAACCCAGCCATCCCACTCCAGTCCCGCCTAGATCCTTGCAGGTCTAGAAGGTACTTCCGTTTCTTCCTTACCAGAGAAGACTCTTGAGTTCATCCTCAAAGCCAAAGGAAAAAAGAAGATCAGCTTCGTCTACCACCAGCAGCTCCAGAGAGTCCCGGAGTTTCAAGTTGTTCTGCAGCAAGTGGTTTAATATTCGGGATGGGGTCCCCACCACTACATCTGGCTTCTCCATCAACACAGCTCTGCAGGTGGCAAGTTTTGGGTGGCAAGAATTTAGCAGCCAGAACCTCAACCCTGGCATCCCCGCCCTGCCTTGCCACTCACAACACCAAGGCCACATCTTTGCATAGCATTCCTCCTTTAGAGGCCTGCAGCTTTCACCCACCTTTGAGAAGCTGCGTCTTCAGCAGCTGAGACATTAGCCACTCGCACATCCCGAGCACAGTAGGAGGCCAGCTGCTGGATCATGGACTGGGCCTGCCGTGCCAGCTCCTTAGTAGGAACAAGGACAAGGCCTCTCACAGCTTGTTCCATTACAGGACCTGTCTGTAAGAGCATGAATTAAAGACTGTTCAAAGTACTGGATCTGCCTGATGCTTTTTGACACTTCTTCCAAACAGTCAGAACCATGCACTGCAACACAATCAACTTGCTATGTTCTGATAAACTGTTAATTCTGCCCACTTCACAACACAGAACAGTTCGCAGGCACTGAAATTTAGAACTTGCTGCATGTCTGAAAGTATGATTTACTTATCATACTATGGAGCTGATGAGCCCTCTCTAGATAAAAATAGTTTACTCAACAACAGATTGGTGGCAGTGGAACCAGGGCCTGGGTTGAGAGCCAAGTAACCTGAACTTCAGCTCAGAGATTATGCTGCAAACAGACCAAGTTCTCTACGGCCCGCCTAACACAGATAAAAGACCGATAGGAACCTTTGCACAGATGGGCACTTCCTTCCCTAGCCTTTTGGAGAGTCCTGCCTCATATTCACTGCTCCTCTCGCTACCTACCGCCTTCTTGTGGAGAAGCAACTGCAGCATCGGAATAGCATAAGCTGCGGTCTTTCCGGAGCCCGTGCGGGCGCGAGCCAGGAGGTCCTTCCCCTCCAGCGCCAGAGGTATGGCCTTTTCCTGGATCAGCGTAGGTCGCGACCAGCCCAAGTCAGTGACAGCCTAAGAAGGAAGAGGACGTGGCTCAACCGGCGTAGAGTGCAGAAGCAAGCCGAGTCCCAGCTCCATGCCCTTCCCCATACCTGCAAGAGCCGGGGATCCAGCCCCATGTGTTCAAAACCCAGCGATTCTTGGTCCTCCATGGCGTGACTCCACGCTGACAGTGCGCACGCGTAGGGCGGGACAAACCAAAAACCAATCAGCTCCGGAGGATACGTCACTTCCTGGAAGTTCTTTCTCCTGGGTCCGGCGTTGCCAACTTGTGGTGTGGCTCTGCGCAGGCGTGTATCGCAATGTTGTCCCGTTGACAGTCTCCGAGTTATGGGTCCCTCTTCCCCGGCGCCCCAGCCTTCCCTGACCCACAGAGTGACGTGGGCAGGACTTTGACTGCTAGGTTATGGTTAGGATCCGACCGCGTTTTTGCCAAGAGGAGGCAGTAAGGCTCGTTTTGGGAGCTACTGAGAGAGGCAACTATAGGGTTGCAGATCCCAAACCTAGCCGCCACGTAGGCACATGCGCAGAGGAATTAGGGTTGTTCTGTGGGTAACCACAGAGGCAAATATCACTGGGCAGAAATCACGGCACAAATTGCTAGCATAAGGTAAATGTTGGATCAGGCCTCCAGCTACTATCAAGATTTTTACAGATACTGCCACACGCCCTGCAATCCTTCAAAGCTCGCAGAAGAGCCGAGTTGATCCGATCCCTTCCTGGGACCATCTTTCCCAGAAAACCAAAAACAGAAGGGCTGCAGTCAGACACTGTTAACACATGCTAACGTGGCCCATTCTTCCAGAATTCCTTACCAGGGAATGTCCTTGGAACTTTTTCTTGTTTTTTGAGACTCACTATGTAGGCTGGCCTGGAACTTGGTAGGCCAGAGATTCACCTGACTTAGCCACCCTAGTGTTGGGATTAAAGGTGTGCGCTACCATGCTTCCTTGGGATCTCTTAAACACCTTCTAAACCCAGAGATATGTTTCTACATCTAGTTACGTGATGTCAGTCGACCTTGAGCCCATTTCTTCTGGACATTATCCCTGGTCCTCAACCGCTTTCTTCACAAGAGACCTTAAAAGAACTCTGCTCCCTCCTGAGCGGAGTGACGCCCTTCATTCACCTTGTCTCTCTTGTTCTTTAATAAACAGCTTGCCTGAAGGTCACCTAGTCTGGTCTCCTAAAGCTAAAAGTTTTTCTTAAGCCATTCTGTTAACTATTGTTAGGGCAATACTAGAAAAGAGACTGGTGGGGACTAAAAACATTTACCAACAGGGTCTTATAGTGACCATCTATTAAGAAATGGAAAGCACTCCTAAAAACGGGAATGAAGTGAGCTGAAGGAAAGTCCAATAAAGGGTCTTTAAAATTGAGTGGAAAACTGGCTCAATGTAGAGCACTTTCCTGGCACACATGATGCCTTAGATTCTCAATCAGCAGCAAAGGACAGAAAAAGTGGGAGACTTAAGGTGGGATTAACTACAAAAGCTGGACTCTGGCACCCGTGACTGTGGCGAGCTCGTCCTGATGATCTAGATCAGCGGTTCTCAACCTTCCCAATGCTGCGACCCTTTGATACAGTTCTTCGTGTTGAGGTGACCCCCAACTATAACATTATTTTTGTTACTATTTCACAAGTGTAATTTATGAATCATAATGTAAATGTGTCTTTTCTGTTGGTCTTAGGTGGCCCCTGTGAAAGGGTTATTTGATCCTCAAAGGGGTCATGGCCTACAGACTTCGGGCCACTGATCTAGACTAACTCTCTAAAGTTATCTGATTAGCAGTCTTTGCCATGTTGGATGGCATTCACTAGTTTCAGGTGTTAGGATGGAGATACATTTGAGTCAGTCATTTTCTTGCTTACTATACCCCTCATATACAAGCCTGCATCTGGCCACAAATGAGTGCTACCAGAAATCTGTTTAAGTTTCCAAGGTGGGGGATTGAAGGGGGGTGATGGAAAGGAATCAGCAAGAAAAATCCTGCTTGTTCAGAGATATGTACTCCAACAGATTTATTGTGGACAAACCCCTATTGATGCCTTTTCTAGCCTCTCGCTCTCTCAGGTCCAGTCTACTTTGCTGGCTAGAATTCTTGAGAAATCAGAGCAGAAACATGTCCCTTCTCAAGAGCCTCATGTTATGGATCTACACATCCAAGTCATTCAAAAGAGATCTTATTTCTGGGCACATTACCACACAAATAAAATCCCAACATTTGGGAGGCAGGACCAAGAGGATCTTGACTTAAAGTTCTACCTCAGGATGGTCTCAAGAACAATCCAAGACATTCTCTTTGCTGGCATGGTAGTATAGACCTTTAATCCCTGCACTTTAGTGGCAGAGGCAGGTGGATTTCTGTGAGTTTAAGGCCACCCTGGCATACACCAAAGCTATATATATAAATACCCTGTCTCAAAAAACTAAAAACAAAATAATTCTAACACCTAACTTCTAATACTAACTCTAACCTGAAGAAAACTACAAAGCTATTTTAAGTACCAGAGGAAGTTTTCTGGTGGTTAAGTGGCCATCTAGAATAGAAATAAGAGGGATATGTAGAATTTTTTTCACTTTTTTGCTTCCTCTTTACAAACTAAAAAAAAACAAAAACAAAAAAACTTGCATATACTCTAAGTGGAAAATATGTTTGCATATATGGTAGAGTACATACACAAAAAAACCAAAGGGAGATTTAGTTCTATAAGTCAGAAAAAGAAATTTAATAAATATTCCAAATAAATATTTAATAAAACTATGAAATAAAATATCAAGAATGGGCAACTAATTGCATGAGGCTTCTATAGAAGTGGGTGAGTGAAGTTCAGTCAGAGCTGTTTATGATTCAGGAGCCAACTTCTTTTTGTTGTTGTTATTCTTTGCTGACATCTACTAGGGTGACCTTTCAGAATGGTTAACCAATCATCCCACCCATTCCCAGGCCAATCCTTAGCATGAATGCCCATTCAAGTCTACTCCAGGTTTTCGACAAAGGTAAGCAGTCTCGTAGCAACCTTCCTTCCCCCCACCCCACCACCCCACCATTTTTTGGCCTCACCATATCCACCCCACAACCTATTATTTCATACTATGTTTATTTCATTGGAAAAAATCTGCATAAAGAACCAAACTCTGGTTCCCTTAAAGAAAATGTTTATGTCAGGTGTGGTGGCGCATGTCTCTTTAATCACATAGGCTCTCATACACGGTGGATCTAGGCTAGCCTAGGCTACATACGGAGTTCCAACACAAAAACGAACCTTCAAACATCTACCACTGCTTAAGTGAAACTTGAGGAAAGAGTGCACAGCTCCGAGTTACTCTGCCCCTCTCTTTCCTGTGCTGTGACCCTGTGGGATTGGACTCACAAGGATTCAACAGAACTCTTGTTGGCCTTCTGACATGGATCTGCTTTCTGGCCCCAGATTGCTGAAATCACTGCATGGCAGTTATTAAAACTGTGTGAATAAGTAGAATGGATAAGGTCTGGACTGGTGTTTTTGGCTAGTTACAGGCAGTGATGATGATGATTCAATCAGGAAGGAAAATATATAATTTATCCAAAAATAGTTCTAAAATATAGAAAAACATCTTAATCCTTCAGGGCCCCAAACTGCCCCTTATTTACATTCACAAAGCCATTGGGAGAACTCAGGACTGACCCAGGAACATTGACGCAGGGTCTCCTCCATGGGCATGCCACTTGCTTACTGAACAAGCAGACAAACAAAAAACAGAAGTGCATTTGGTCATCTCTTCAAAAACAGAGGAGAATCACCAGAGGCAAAAGAAATGACTTGATCTTGGGTTAATTCCAACTTCTCCCAAACCCTAAGGCAGGTTTTGAAAGCTTAGACCAACGTCTGCTTCTTGGAAAACCAAGGTCAAAGGTAGCTGATCTGAATGGCTTAATGCCATGATACCAATGACACACTGTTTTTCATTTTCCTCCTCAAAATCCAGGTGGACAAGGGGCTGGGTGGGGAAACTATCAAATAATTGAGGTAAAAGGGAAAGGTTATACAGCAAGATCCCTACACCAGCTTCTTGGCCTCAAAGAAGCTCTTGAGGTGACGCATCTGCCAGATGCCAGTGAGGATGAGGATGACAGTCTGGGCGATGGACCACCACAGGACCCTCTGGTTGGTACTCTCACTGGTCAGTCGGAAGCGCTCTTCACGATACTGCATGGGACAGTGAACAAAGAATTAGAATGGGTAGGAAAACAGAACTTGCTATTACAAGGCCCTCCATTTGTGTGACTGCACAACTTTAGGCCAAATGCCTCTGGAATACCACCTGTAATTCCATTTGGAGGCTAGTCCTTCCACTGAGACTGCCCCTAGGAAGGAAATTACGTTCTCTACAACCATTTCTGTTAGGACTGATATCATGCTTTCTCCAGCAAGAGGCCATGGAAAACAAGCAAACATGGGTATCACTAGATTGTATACTGTTCTTCCTAGACTGGTTCATACAATTTAGACATAACTATCCAAACCAAGATGAGGTCTATACATACATCAGACTATTATTCAACCTTGAAAGGAGAATTCTATAGCTGAAAGTGGTAGTGCATGCATGCCTTTAATTCCAGCACTCAGGAGGCAGCGGAGGCCAGCCTGGACTACAGAGCAAGCTCTAGCACAGTCAGGGCTATACAGAGAAACCCCTGTCTTAAGGATAGGGAGAGACAGTGATAGTTCTCCAGGATGGAAAGATAACCCAGTGTTTAAGAGCTCATACTTCTCTTGTAGAGAACCTGAGCTCATTTCTCAGTGCCCATGTCAGGTAGCTGGAAATCGCCTGTAACTCCAGCTCCTAAGGATCTGAAGCCCTCTTCTGAACTCACAGGATACCTGCACACACACATACATAAACCCATACATAGATACGTATAGTTGAGAAGAAGACAAATATTTAAAGGGTTAGGGCATGGGGCATGACGGGGTTCAGAGCCCTTATCTAGCATGTGTGATGACCTAGGTAGGTTAAATTTCTAACAGTGAAGCCGGGCGGTGGTGGAGCACGCCTTTAATCCCAGCACTTGGGAGGCAGAGGCAGGTGGATTTCTGAGTTCAAGAGTTCGAGGCCAGCCTGGTCTACAGAGTAAGTTCCAGGACAGCCAGGACTATACAGAGAAACCCTGTCTCGAAAAACCAAAAAGAAAAAATAAAAAAATAAAAAAAAAATAAAAAAAAAATTCTAACACTGTAAAAATAAACAGATATGAAAAACAGGAGTTCTGACAAACTACAAGGCAGGTATACCCTGGACACATTGTGCTAAATGAATTAAAACAGTCACAAAAGGATTCCATGCAGCTGAGTTAGCGATCAAGACCACAGGCAAAAAGTAGACCTGCAGCAGAACACGGGAAGTGGGCAGTCAGTGTTTACCACTGATCAGGGTCACAGAGGAAACATCCAAACCTCAGCTAGGGAAGAGGAGTGCTTAACGGGGTCAGAGTCTCTGGGAAGGTCAAGGCTATACAGACGATGGTAGTGATGGTTACAACGATATGAATCTATGTATTGCCACAGTTCTGCACACTTACCAATAGTTAAAATGGTAAGTTTTATATGTATTTCATAACAAACAAACAAAAATATTAAAGGGTCTACAGCCACATCATCCTGAACACTTGAGATCTGATCTCAGAAGCTAAGAAGAGCCAGGACTGGTTAGTACTTGGATGGCAGACCACCTGGAAATATTGAGTGGTGTAAGCTTTTAGAACATATACACATATATATGTATATAAATTGTTATACTTATATATAACATATAATCATAGTAAATGTAATAAATTTTATGTATGTGTATACATATGTAACTTACACACACACATATGACTGAAGATGTGGCTCCATGGTAGAGAGCTTGCCTAACATTCAGGCAAGGGTTCAATTCTTAGCACTGTAGACATATACAGAAAGCTAGGAACGAAAACCAAACCCAAACCTCACCTATGTAGACTGGTAACTCCCACATCATTCCCGAGTACAGGAGGCCCCAGCATACACATTGCACAGTGGGTTTAAAGGTCAATCACAGCCTCCAAGTGTAAATCTCTTACCCTCTGATAATCCTGCTCCTTCTGGATCTGTTCCACCTGATCTAGCAACTGGCGAGCACGAAGCTGTAGCTCTGTTAACTTATCCTTAGCAGCGATCTCAGGGTAGTTGTTGGCATGCTCCCCAACCTGGATGTCCAAGTGCACACGCTACAAGGAAACAGGACTGAATGAGGGGGTGCCGCCCACCATCTGTTACTGCTATGGAGTCCAATTCTTGTCTCCGGCTGAATGAGGAAGAAGGGCAAGCCTCCAGTTCTAACTGTATCCACCCACTCCCCCCAAAAGGCAAAATTAAAAGAAAAAAATAAAAGACGGCAATAAATCAACTTTGGTATCAAGTGAGAAACTCTAAGGCTGGGCCTCTTACCAGTTTGCCTCCAGCGAAGAGAGCCATCCTGGTGGAGTTGGAGTGCAAACAAATCTGATGGTCACCGGGTGTGTGGGAAGTGAATGTGAAACGGCCCTCGGAGCCGTATTGCCGGGACAGTACTACCTGGAATATGCATCAAGCCCCAACTTTCAACGATCTCTCAAAATGCAAGACCAGGTACCTAAAGACTTTTTCTCAGGACTACGGTGGTACTTTACATCCCATAAAGACATTAACGGATAGCTCACACCAGCTAGAGCCTTTTCAGCGAGGACGTGGGGGGCTTACCTTGCTGTCCGGGTCCTTCACCTCTACGTGCATGCCTAGGCCGGGGGTCGATGGCAGGAAGACCTCTTTCTGCTTGTCCCACATCTGAGTTCGATAGTTGCCTATGGGGTAAACACACAGTCACAATCTGGCCCCTAGCAAATGGCCCCGGGGCACTGTGCAGGGGACCTGGTGCCCTCAAGGCACCCTCAGGATGGAGGGTAGGGTCGAGCAGGGAAGGAGGGGTGCTTCCGAGGGCCAGGTGAAAACAAAGGGCCTCTCCACCCTCAGCCCCCTGACCGATGACCATGGTCTCGTCGGGTATTTCCTCGATGAAGCAGCGCTTCTCAGTCTCGCCGATGTGGAAATAGAGCCCACGGGCACCCGCAGCACACACAGTAAGCACCAGCAGCACAAATCGCACCATCCTCTGCAGCGGTCGGACCCCGACACCTGCCATCGCGTCTCAATCTTGCGCATGTGCACACTTGCGCACTGCTCAGCGTTTGCGCACCGGCTTGGAAACGGAAAGTGCGCCTGCGCAGTGTAGTAGTCCCGCAGCTCCCTTAACCAGCTCAGTTCACTGTACACTCCTCGATACTAGGCTTGCACTGCTCTGCGCCTGAGCGACTCCTAGCGTAGACTAGCCTTACAGAGAGGAAAAAACCTGGGCAGGGAAGCTGCCCATGGCTTCTGTCCCTTGTCTTTGGGCTTGAATGTCCTTGCTATGCACCGCTCTGCGCCTGCGCCCTGTATAAGGCGAAGCAAGAGTACTTTTCGGTGGAGGGTGCTAGGCGACTTGAGATGGTTAACCTGAACAGCCTGAGTTCTTCTAGTCCCCAGCACCTGAAGTAAAATAAACCTTTCTTTTGAGCATCTTACAGAAGATAACACATTGTGTCATTTCACAATCGCAGGACTTATTGAGTTACAATAAATTCACAGTTATCTTAGTTTACACAGCCTTCTGAGCAGTGTGTTATCACACCTAGTGCTGCTGGGTGCTAAGGATGGAGCTTCCTGTAAGCTGGCCAAGCACTCTACCAACTGAGCTACCACCAACTCAAACAAAGGTTCTTTTATCCGGTTTTAAATACTAGCCCTCAGGTCATACATTACACATCATACAATGATTATGTCTATGTATATGTCCTAGCATCAGAACTTCACACAACAGAGAAGAGGGAACCTTAACTGATGACTGGCCTCCCTTAGACTAGCTTATGAGCTTGTCTATGAGGCATTTTCTTGGTTGTTAATTGACGGAGGGCCTAGCCCACTGTGGATGGTGGCATCCCTGGGCAGATGGTCCTGGGTTGTATAGCAAAAGTAGCTGTGCAAACCAGAGGAATCAAGCCAGTGGGCAACACTTCTCCATGGTCGCTACTTCAGTTTCTGCTTCCACATTGCTGCCATGGATTCCTACCCTGGCTTCTCTCAGTATTGACTGTAAACCAATAAACTCTTTCCTCCCGATTTACTTTTGGTCATGGCGTTTGTCATAGCAACAGAAAGCAAACTAGAACTCTGTGTGTGTGTGTGTGTGTGTGTGTACACGTGTGTGTGCGCATGTGTTAGAGAAGCTGTACAGAAAGGTTTAAAAGGATGCACAATAGTTCAAGGACTTCAAAGAGGTTTCTGTTAGATTAACTTAACTAGTCACAGAGCTGTTCATAGAGTTGTGAGTCATAGAGTCGAGCCAAGCAGGAGCAGAACTGAAATGTGGGATCACAGGACCATGGATTAAAAGTTTAGGACTGGGTCCAGATGAACCAAGGAAATGAATAGCAGCAGAGACCTAGTTGAGCTGAATGCTGGGGGATATTCAGGAGTCCCTTGCCTGCCAATCCCTTGAAATACACTCCCATAATAAGAAAGCAGGTCAATAGGGCAGTTGCCTTTGCAGTATGAAGAGAGTTCCCTTTTTCTTTTTCCTTTTTTCTTTTTTCTTTGTTTGTTTCGTTTGTTTGTTTTGTTTTTTGGGATTTCTCTCTGTAGCCCTGGCTATCTTGGAGCTTGCTCTGTAGACCAGGCTGGCCTTGAACTCACAGAGATCTGCCTGCTTCTGCCTCTGAGGCGCTGGGATTAAAAGCATGGGCCACCACTGTCTGGCTAGTAGTGGTCCTCTATATGGGGTTAAGTTAAGGATGTTGGACCCTGGCTCAGTCTGATATGTTTGGTAAGTTCCCAGTCCTTGGTTTTCTGATACTGTTTGCTTTGATTCTTCAGCTGAGAATAAGAGAATTTATCGTACACAAGAAACACTTGGCCACAAGTGAGAACAGAATTAGTCCAGAATGCCAAAGGTCCAGGGCAGAGGGCTAGTGGGACTGTTTTAGTTGTAAGAAAGACAGTCAGTTTCCCAGGTGATCTTGGTGAGATGACTTTCAAGGTCCATCAGAGTTATCATCGACAGCAACATACAGTATTCATCCAACAACTTCTACAGTATTCCAGCCTTCAGCATCCCTTACTTCTGCTCCTGCAGGCTTAGGGTGCACTTGAACCTCTGCCTCATCCTTCTTCTCTTGTGCTTCAGCCTGCTCATTAGCTTCCTCAGCCACTTCGTTCTCATGGCCAAGGAGTTTTAAGGAAGTTGGCACTAAGGCTGAGAGTCTGATGTTGTTTTTACATACCAGTACATTCACATGGTCCCAATCTACTTGGGTAAGTTTATAGATGGTACTTTAGGAATAGGTGTTTATGGTCCATGTTTCATGGGTGGTACTAAGCAGGTGGTAATGTTTATGTGCACAATGAGGTACAGAATCATCATATTTCTGCAGTTACATTCAAGAAGGAGCCAAACATTTACAGACATAAGATGAATAGGCAAGATACAGCCCAAAACACACAGTTTTACACAATATCAGTTTTATATAGAGATAAAATATCAGTTTTGTCTCAAAGACAAAACAAAAAACAACCAACAAACAAAAAAAAAACTACTGGTTTGAATTTTGACATAAAATCCTCTGACTTTTACATCTATGTATCTAACTCAGCTTTTATCTGCTGGAATGAACAGTAAAACACAATGTAGCCAACATTAAAAGCAATCATGTAGACTGGCTCTGGTGGCACATACAGTTAATTTTAGCACTTAGTGGACAGAAGCAGGCAGAGTTCTGAGAGTTTGAGACCAGTCTGATCTACATAACCAGTTCCAGGATAGCCAGGGCTGCATAGACCCTGTCAAATAAAACAAACAAACTAAAATCCCTGCTATCAAGTAGAGCTGGCAAGATGGCCACCAGGCAAGCCTGATAATCTAGGTTCTAGTCTCAGAATCTGTGGTGAAGAGAGAGAACCAACTTCCAAAAGTTATCTTCTGACCTCCTCATACCTTTGGAAGAGCAACTAGTGCTCTCAACTGCCGAGCCATCTTAATAATAAACATCATCATCCTCAACAATTATCATATTACTATATATTATATACTTAATAATTATGTTATATATTTAATAATTATTAATGCTATAATAAATAATATGTAATAATAATAATAAATTAGTAAAGTTTAAGTGAAATAAAGCAACTGGGTGGACCACTTGTGATTTCTGTCAAAATCCAGTGGAGGACAGTTCCAGAAGGGTTTGACATTTTCTTTGGGCCTCAAGTGCCATGAGCATGTGATGCACAGATACAAATGCAGGCAGAGCACAGATAAAATAAAAATAAACCTCAAGTTGGGCATGGTGTCACAGGCCTTTAATCCCAGCACTAGGCAGGCAGAGGCAGAGTTTGAGGCCAGCCTGTTCTACAAAAAGAGTTCCAGGACAGAGAAACCCTGTCTCAAAAAACTACTACTACTACTACTACTACAATAATAATAATAATAAATAATAATAATAATAAAATAATATCTCAAAGGTTTTAAGTAAGACAAAGTTATAAATGTTGGTATATGAGTTTAATACCACCACTTAAGAAGCAGAGGCAGGGCCGGGCAGTGGTGGCGCACGCCTTTAATCTCAGCACTTGGGAGGCAGAGGCAGGCAGATTTCTGAGTTCAAGAGTTCGAGGCCAGCCTGGTCTACAGAGTGAGTTCCAGGACAGCCAGGACTATACAGAGAAATTCTGCCTCAAAAAAAAAAAAAACCCCAAAAAACAAAAGAAGAAGCAGAGGCAGGGGCTGGAGAGATGGCTTGGCAGTTAAGGGTACTAGCTGCTCTTCCAAAGGAATTCTCAAACACCCACATGGCAGGTCTCAACTGTCTATGATTCCAGTACCAAAGGATCCAACCCTTTCATATAGGCACGCAGGCTAAACACCAATGTACACAAAATAATAAATCATTAAAAGGAGGAGGAGGAGGGAGAGGAGGAGGAGGAAAAGGAGAAGAGGAGGAAGCAGGTGAGTGTGACTGACAGCACATGATTGTAATCCTAGCTCTGTGGAGGCAGAGACTCAGAGATCTCTGGGGTTTGGGCAGCCAGTCTAGACAAATTGGCAATTTTGGATCCCAGTCAAAGACCTTGTTCAAGAGTTTGATAAGTTAATGCACTTGTTGCCTAGCCAGGGGACCTGAGTTCAAATTCCAGTATCCGCATGCTAGAAGGAGTGAGCCAACTCCTGAAGGTTGTCCTTAAACGTGTGGGCCATGGCACATCCACACATACACATGTGCTCACACAGACACACACACTAAAGAGATAAAATGTAATTTAAGAAATTAAAAGATGAAACAAAACGCAGTCCTGAAGAAACAGCAATTGCTGTTAGGCATATGTGTGTACAGCTGTTCACATGCACCTGCACACACACACATGTACATAGACATATACCCATACACACAAATAAGAAGAAAATTTACCTTAGGCAATGAAATTATATTTTCTTCAAAGACTGGAGCAACCTTGCTCAATGTCCTTTGAGGTTCTATGTCCAGGCTGGCTCTTTCCTTCTCTCATCCAGCCAATGTGCGAGGTGAGGTCATGTGCAGTACCTAACTGTCCAAGGGAAACAGTGGTGACCAGGACACAGAAGTCTTCCTTCATATGCATTAATCTCAATTCTTATCTGCTGATACATAAGAAAATACATAAATACACAGCAAGTTATCTATGGATAATCATAGATAACTTCCAAGGCACAGAGAAGGAAACAGAGTACATTACATTATACGGTGAACCACAAAACATACCCTTGGATATGAAACCCCCAAACACTTTTTCATTTAGTGTGTGTGTGTGTGTTGGGTGTGTTCACACACACTTGTGTACACAGAGGTCAGATGATAACTTGTGAGAATCCGTTCTTATCTGCCATGTAGGATACAAGAGTAAAACTCATCAGCCTTGGTAGTCAAGTGCCAAGATAAGCCATCTCCCCTGCCCAGATGACTATTAACTAAATATTTATCTATTTATTTTATGTGTGTGGGTATTTTGCCTGCTATTGAGGCTAGACAAGGCATCCCAGACAGGGAAAAGGGACCCAAGGGCAGGCAGCAGAGTCAGAGACAGCTCCTGTTCCTGCTGTTAGGAGTCCCATATGAGGACCAAGCTGCATGTCTGTTACCTATGTGTAGGGGGCCTAGGTCTGTCCTACGCATGCTCTCTGGTTGGTGGTTCACAAATATGGAATGATTCACAAGTTTGCATGTCATCCTGGCACAGGGCCATGCTAATCTTCTCTGAATGCTTCCAATTTTAGTATATGTGCTGCCGAAGTGAGCATGGTGGGTAACTTTATAAGAAAAAGGTTTGTTTGGTTCATAGTTCTAGCAAGTCTGACTCCAAGTTGTACTTGCTCAGCTCTGCTAAGGACTCAGGATGGATGGGCCCAAAATGATGGGAGCACATGGAAAAGAAAGATTACAACATGAACCAGGAAGTGAAAAAGAGGTGTGGGGATTGATTGCACTCTTAATTGGTCTGTGAATCCCTCATTAAGTTCTAACTATTTTGTTTGAGCAGGCTGTCATGTATGTAGTCCAGGCTAGCCTCAAACTCACTACAAATAAGAGGATGACTTTGAACTAATCTTCCTCACCCCACCTCCCAAGCACTGGGATTACAGGCATGTACCACCATACCGAGCAAAACTTTTCTATTCACTAGCTGCACTGGAAAAGATTCAAGCTTCCAACAGGCAAAACAGTAGAAGACAAACCACACACTTCCCCAGTGACTTCCACCAAACATTTATCAAAGAAACAGTATCAATCTTTTCTAAACTTTTTGAAGAGGGGTGAGAAAACACTGATGGGGGGGGGACTGCAGGTGGTCACAGCAGACAGGGATGCAAATGAGAAAGAGATGAGAATTAAAACTTTGTTAAGATTGACTTCATTTGCTGGGCAGTGGTGGTGCACGCCTTTAATCCCAGCACTTCGGAGGCAGAGGCAGGTGGATTTCTGAGTTTGAGGCCAGCCTGGTCTACAGAGTGAGTTCCACGACAGCCCGGGCTATTAAGAGGAAACCCTGTCTCGAAAAAAAAAATTGACTTCATTAACCTAGATCAAACTTCAGGTGGTCTGTTGCCAGGCAGTTTATTCCCAACAAATTAAGACACAGTATAATTTGGGGGAAAAAAGTTCCCTTGTATAATACAATCCCCAATGCACAAGGAAGCATAATTACCTTGAAACTCAACTCAGAGCACGTGTCATTTCTTCCAAGAAGATGGGTTCTGGAGATTTGGCTTGATCTTGGTTACACAAATAGTTAGAGGTTTTTTGGGCTATTTACCACCTCTGGTCCTGATTGTGGGAGCTTTAGGGCTGTAGAGGTAAGAGTCATTTAGATTACTAAGAATCTCTGATCCTCGCTATTGGAACTTGATATGGCCTGGCCCAATAGTAACACAGATCTCCAGATTGTTAATTGCAATTCCCACCCTTCTGGATGGAAGAACAGGTTTTATATCCATTCCTCTGAGAGGACAATCCTGTGTGCTCAACACTCCTGGTTTCTCTGGAGATCCGTGCACACAAGGACCTCCGTGCTGTGCTCCCAACAGAGCACCACCATTACTGTGAGGTTAAAGCTAGGTAAGGCCATCACAAGGAAAGAAGGGTGATTATTTCTTTGGGGAATCAATGCAAAACTCGCCAACAAAGTGAGAGCAAACAAGTCCAACAGCATAGTAGGAGGACCCCATGAGATCAAGTCCGTCCTGTGTTTGTTACATTTCAGCCCAGAGCACTTCAGACTGCACAGTTGCTACTTGTCTGAACTCAGAGAGGACCAAACACAGGCACAATGAAACCATATGAAGCACCAGGGGACAACAGATGGCAAACAAGTTTACCTTTGGGCTCAGGTAACTTCCTGAAGTGGGTGGAGTCTTATTTGTAGTTGCCCTGTTTTTATTGCAGCTGAGAGTCCAGGAAAGAATTCCACCCCAGGATTTCCCTCCCATCCTGGGGACCATATGACACTTGGCTAAACACTGAAGGATATCCTGTTTCTAGGGAAGACTGGAACCAAACAGGTTGTTTCTGGTTAGGTCCCTCTTACCAGCATGCTGCATTCTCTGGCTATTCTACAGTAATTTTAGGGACCTACAGTTGGGGGGGGGGGTGTTGGACCAGTTTGTTACCTGGAGACCAATCCTTAAATTTTGACATATGAAAATTGCCTTACTTAGGATTACTATTGCTGTGATGAAATACCATGACCAAAGCAACTTGGGGAGGAAAGGGTTTATTGGGCTTACACTTCCACATTATAGTGTAAGACCCCGACCCTCAGTCTCGGTCAGTGGTATTTACTTCGAGATGCCCCCGAGTGAGACACTGAGACGCAGATCAATGCAAAAACAAGAGGTTTATTTTCCAGGGGTGTTCGGGGTCAACCCTCAATCAGTTGAAGGCGACCCCAAATGGCTATTACAAGCAGTTTTTATACCTTGTAGGGGTACATCAGCAAGGTTACAGTTCAAACTTATTGGCTAAGCATATTGACCCTTAAATCTATTGGCTAGCAAGCATGACATGCATTTGAACTCAACCGGGGACTTTCCAAAGGGTCAGGTGACTATCATTCAGTACATTCTGAGAATGTTTTACTCAAGAATAATCCTGTGAGTGGAGAATGGAACTTGGCCCAGCCTTGACGCCAGGCGGGAGGGGGAAGCTGTAAGGAGGTGTGATACTGGAGAAGCTGTGAGGGTCCCTCAGTAGTCCATCCTTGAAGGTAGCCAGCACAGGAATACTAACAAGGCCAGAACTTGGAGGCAAGGCCTGATGCAGAGGCCATGGAGGGTTGATTCTTACTGCCTTGTTTCCCATAGCATGCTCAGCCTGCTTTCCTATAGATAGGACCACCAGCTCAGGGATAGCCCCACATACAATGGGCTGGGCTCTTCCCCTTCAATCATCAATGAAGAAAATGCCTCACAGCTGGATCTTATGGAAACCTTTTCTCATTTGAGTTTCTCTCCTTTCAGAAAACTCTAGCTTGTGTCAAGTGGGAATAAGACTACCCAGCACAGAAATCAACATGATATATCACCCTTATAGAAAGGAGAGGAACACATGTCTATCTCACCTAATGAAGAAATGGCACTGGACACAATGCAATAATCCTTCATGATTAATACTGTTTGAATATGAAAAATCCCCCGGGGGTTCATATGTTGAAGGCTTGGTTCCTAGCTGGTGGTTCTGTTTTCAGAAGCTGTATAAATATTTAGATGTGTATCCAGCTTGAGGAAGTAGGAAATTAAGGATGTGCCTTTGAAGGTTAAATCTGTCTTCATTCCTGCCTCCTATCTCCTATTAAGATGCCCAGTTAGGCTTAGGAGATATCTCAGTTGGTAAAATACTTGCTGTGCAAGCACGGGGACATGAGTTGGGATCCCCACTAACATCAAAAGCCAAGCGCAACAGTGTGCGTCTGTAATCCCAGCACTGGGGAGGTAGAGATAGGAGGACCCTCGGGGCTCACTGACCAGCCAGTTTTGTTGAACCACCGAGCTCCAAGTTTAGTGAGAGACCTTTTCTCAAAAAAAAAAAAAAAATGAAGTTGAGCGTGATGGTGCTTATCTTTAATCCCCACACTCAGGATGCAGAGGTTGGCAGACCTCTGTGAGTTTGAGGCCAGGCAGGACTATGTAGAGAGACTCTGTGTCAAAACAGATATTGACTTCTGGTGCTTTCTTCTCTCTCGCTCGCTCTCGCTCTTGCTCTCGCTCTCTCACTCTCTCGCTCTCTTGCTCTTTTGCTCTCTCTCGCTCTCTCTCATGCATGCACATGTGCATGCACACGAGTACACACACACACTGAACAATAACTTCCTCCACAGGCTCCTGCCTCAACAGGAGTCCAAGAAGATTACAGACTGAAATCACTGACACTGTAAACTAAAATAAGTAATTCCTTCCATTAAAATAGCTTCCGATGTTTGGCCGCAGTGATGTAAAGGTACTAAGAGAAGTATTAAAATAATACTAAAAAAGTTAAGATTAGAGACTGGAGGGACAGTTCAGTGGTTAGGTATAGCTGGTCTTTGCTACTCTATGGGTTCTTCTTGTTGCTGGAGGAAAGAAGGGAGGGGGGAGGAAGAGAGAGGGGAGAGAGAAAAAGAGAGAGAGAGAAAATCCTGAACCTAATTTCTTTCCTTTTGTTTCTTTGAGCACAGCTATGAACAAACTGAAACCAACCCCCTTAAATGAACAACAACCACTGACTGACACTGCCTCGCAGCAGGGATCTAGCATTTATATACCCTCTGAAAATTTCCAGTGTTCCGAACATCATACAATTGCAGAAATTTTCTGCAGCTGGCAAAACCACTATTCTGCTAGAGCACAAGGCAATTGTAGTCAGCTGCTGCAGACAGTTGGAAGCAACCCCACATCCCTACATCTGGGATTACAATGGAAGCACATTCTTAGACTATTTCTATGTATATGTTTGTCTTTTTAAAATAAAATCAAAATTTCAGAATTCTCAAAAATATATGTCACTACAGTTAAGCGCATTTCCTGCTCTTACAGAGTTAGGACCTACGTAAAAAATTAAAGCCTGAATTGAATGTTAAGGCTTAGGTAAATGTTAAGGCCTAAGGAACAGTTACCCAGCTAGTCATTATAAGGAAACTTTATCATATATTTCTGCTGTTACTAGGAAACTTTCTAATGCCAAGATTGATTACATAGCCTGTTATGTTCTGTATCCTTGGAAACCAATCTTGATAGAAGTCAGAACTGTTTTGTATAGTTACCCACAATAAATTTGGCCCTGAACTAACCCGCAGCACTTCCTGCACCTATGTGTAAGTTTTTATGGTATTTGCTTTTATAAGCTATACCTGGGATGGACCCCCAACATAAGAGAGATGCCTGCATCAGTACAAGAAACTACTTGAAATAAGACTTCCATTTTGAGTAGTGGTCAAGTAAAGTTTAAGTTCCCAAGACCTCCCTGGGAACTGACATCCTACTTGGCAGAAACTGACATGCTGGTTGGCAAGTTAAGACATCAATGTTACAAGAGTCCCATTCTGGTGGACAAGTTAGGACATGAATATTAGACAAGGCAAGTCCCCGCCACAGTTGAATACCCCAACCAATGGGAGTAGGATAAATGTACAAAAAAAAGAGATGTTTCTAAGAAAATCCCCTATCCTTAAATCCTGATTTGGCACAGATGTTTGTGGACTTTGGGCTTTAAAACCCTGTAGAATCTTAACTCAATGTCATGGTTCAGCTCCTGAATCTGAACTATGGCC